GCAACAGGATCATTTTGAATATTTTCAGGGGTTGAACAGTGCAAATATCCATCTTGGCCTCGGCTCCATATCTCGGCTTCTCAACCGATTGGATAATCCGCAGGAAAAATATGGGACCATCCTGATCGGTGGGACTAACGGAAAAGGATCCACAGCGGCCATGGTGGCATCAGTATTGAGAGAGAGTGGCTTCAAGGTCGGCCTCTATACGTCTCCTCACCTGAGCGATGTCCGCGAGCGGATAACAGTAGATGGCAGCATGATCAGCTGTGAGGCGATGGAAAGATGCATTCGGAATGTCGAAGAGGAACGCACGGAGGATATCACCTATTTTGAATTTCTCACGGCGGTTGCCTTTATCTACTTTTATCATCTCAAGGTGGACATCGCTGTTCTGGAAGTTGGCATGGGAGGAAGACTTGATGCTACCAATGTTGTTGATCCGATTGTTTCAGTCGTGTCGAATGTCTCGCTCGAGCACCGGGCATTTCTGGGTGGTTCGCTGAAGGCAATAGCCTTCGAGAAGGGCGGTATCATAAAGGATAAAGGCGTATTGGTCACTGCCGCCAAGCAAAAGCCGGTGATTAAAGTCTTTGAAGATATTTGTCTCAAAAAAGAGGCAAAAATGCTGAGATTGGGACAAGAATTGCGCGTCAAGATCAAACGCGGCGGAACATTTTCATTCAGGGGGATCGGTAGGGAATATCGGGACATGGTTTGCTCTTTGAAGGGGAGGCATCAGTCGGAGAATGCCGCCCTGGCCATAGCAGCTATAGAAATCGTCCGGGAAAAAGGATACAATATTGACGACGACGCTGTTTTCAGGGGCATTCAAAATGCACAGTGGGAAGGGAGATTGGAGATTCTTCAGAAAGAGCCGATGGTTCTTGTCGACGGCGCCCACAATCCTGCCGGGATCTCCGTCCTTTGCAGGGCGCTGAGATCGGATTTCAAATATAGGCGGCTTATTCTCATATTCGGTGTCCTTTGCGACAAAGATTGGGTCAACATGCTCAGAAAGATTGTTCCTCTGACAGATCACCTCATCATTACGAAGCCGCAAATAGAGAGGGCGATGTCGCCCGAAAAAGTCGAAGCCATTGCGTGCCGATACATGCACCACAATGTCGAGTGCATTGAAAACTCCATAAACGCCTTATATCATGCCTTTTCCCTGGCGGATGTTCATGATCTTATCTGTGTGACAGGTTCCCTCTTCCTCGTGGGGGAAATCAAAAAGATATTTTGCGCTTCTGCTGATGGGCGCACAAAGCGATCTGTATCCTGACGGCGGTATTCTCACATGCGATTAAAACAATCTATTTTTTACATTGTAATCCTGATTCTTTCGATGACAGCTCATGAGCTTATGGCTATCGACACGAGCCTTAATGACGGGGCGGTGACTATTGATGCAGAAAGCATCGCTTATGACAATGAGGAAGACACTGTCCATGCAAAAGGAGACGTCGTCATCACCTTCTCGAAAGGATTCCTGAAGGCGGATTCGGTGAGCATGAACCGAAAAACAGAAGATCTTCTTGCCGAAGGACATGTCACAGTCGTGAGTGAGGATGATCTTCTGGAAGGTGAGAAGTTTACATTCAATATAAAGTCAAAAACGGGCGTTGCTCATAAAGGCAATATGTTTCTTGAAGAAAATCATTTTTATATCACAGGGTCGAAAATCATGAAGACAGGGGCGGCGACGTATCATATCACGGACGCTTCTGCGACAACCTGTGATGGTGATGTCCCTGATTGGCGGTTTATGAGCCGTGAGTTGGATGTGACGATCGACGGGTACGGAACCATGAAGCACGGCAGATTCCTGCTGAGAGATGTTCCCGTTTTCTATATCCCATTTATGCTGTTTCCGGTGAAGACCAGTCGGCAATCCGGTCTCCTGTTTCCACAGATCGGGTATTCTCGAGATAAATTCGGTCTGGATATAGAAATCCCTTTTTTCTGGGCAATATCGAACCAGGTCGACGCAACTTTTTATGAGCGCTATATTGAAAAGAGGGGATTTAAAGAAGGTGTGGAATTTCGATACCTTATCTCAGAAGATACATTCGGAACGCTTTATGGCGATTTTATGAATGATTCCGGGCCGGCTCTCGACACCGCTGAAGGAGCCAGCAGAAACTGGCAATCACACCAGAAAAGATGGTCACTTTATCTGAATCATGAAACCACAGTCAGCCCTTCTGTTTTTTTCAGGGCCGATATCCGGAAAGTTTCCGACCAATGGTATTTCAAGGACTTTTCATCGAACAGTTATTATATGAATAATTATTCACAAAATGAGATGCAGAGGTTTAAGAAGGTTTCTTTTATCGGAGATGAAACGCTTGATTCGCTGGAGTCGACGGTACGCCTGGTTAAGAACTGGTCGCAATTCAATATCACAGGACTTATCAGCGATACGACCAGTTTTACCGATGCCTCCAATGATATGACACTGCAGCGATATCCTGAAATCACGTTAAAAGGTGCAAGAAGGCCTCTTTTCGGAACATTGCTGAATATAGAGATTGATGCGGCTTATGATTATTATTACAGGGCAACAGGGCAGAGAGGGCATCTTTACGATATTCAGCCGGTATTCTCTCTACCGTGGAATATCGGGGATTATCTGCAGGTAATTCCCCAAATCGGTGCAAAGGCCACCTTTTGGGGCAGAGACGATTCGTCTGTGGGGGATGAAAAGCATGACAATCGCCAATTGTATACGATTGGCATTACCGCGACGACAGAGGCCTATCGGATATTCGATGTAGGAGCTGAACGCATCGAAAAGATACGGCATGGCATCAGGCCCGAGGTGACATATACAAGATACCACTTTCTGACAACATTTCCCTCATTTGCTTGGTATGTCTTCATAAAATCACCTGGTGCCCTTAAAATGTAAAGGGTTTGACTACGCAATTTCACTACGTTTGTCAAGAAAAAAACCCACTGGTTGTTTTTTTTAGTAAACCCACGCCGGACCCGGGGATTTGCCGAGCCCATAAATGGAAAACAGAACGGTTAATCCTTTGTCAGTCTCGGATTCAGTATACCTTATATCAACATTCCAGCATTGTCTATGAAAATTAAGTCCGAACGTACTTTCTACTGTCTTTTT